CCGCCAAGCAGTAATGTGAACATTACTGTGTTCCGGTTTTGAATGGTAAGGGTGCTGGTGAAATTACAGGCATATGGGACTTGCCAACTTATGTATCAGGGTGACGGTCGCTGAGCTAGATCTTTGTGATTTAAAGGCCTGAGTGATACTGCTACTGTTATGATCAGACGTGTCACTTATCACCATGCGTACGACTTGTTCATCCCATCACTTCGTATTATTTAAAAAATGTTGTAAATCTCGTAAATGTAAATAAATGTCTGTTCACAAATAGCAACTAGAATTTCTTATTCGTTGTTATTTCAGAGCTTCTTTTTGTGTGGAGAAATACATTATAGTCTGTTTGTTTTGAAGATGGAGTAAAATGACATTTGCAGGGTTGCCAGTTTTAGTAAAATTTATATAGTCAGGTAGTAGTTGTCGACAGTTTTATCGATAGATTGCGAAAGTTGGTAAAATTTTGCCATAAATTACTGAACTGTGGATTTTGCGACGTTGTAATGATTAGGTGCTAATTGGTAGGTGACAGTTGGTTTAAATGTTTAGTCATTTTAATGATGACAGGCGGATTTGCTTATGCGTATAAAATTAAAATTAAAAACTTTATAATATGTCTCCTATTTATATTTTTAATTCACATACTTCTAAATTTAGTGTACGCATGAATTAACTTTCTAAAATCAACAATTCAAATGAACCTTTGCCCAGCAGTTGGACGTATAATGGGCCGGTGATGAATCAAATGAAACAATTTCGCCTATTTATTTCATAAGCGTAACCAACATTCCGTCGATACTCGATAGAATATTTATCGAATGCAATCACTAGCTGCTTGCAAGCGAACAACACTTTTTCGTAATGAAATGTCATTTTACTCCGTCTTCACAAAAGACAGACTATACATATATAATTTATTTTTTATCTCAAAATATACGAAAAGTAATATGCGTGTCTACCATAAAGTACGTAAGAATTAAAAATAAATAAGAATTTTCAAGATCCCTACAGTTGCTGTATGTACCCGTTTTGCGCAGCGTTTTCAAATGTTCCTTTTTCCTCGCATCTACAACACACTGGCAAATAAATGTAACATACGGCTATGTAGCGTTTTGGAAGCAAAAAAGAAAATCCAGGCTTTTTTGTTATCATGGGACTATGAGCAGTCTGAAGCAATCCTACGCGTGTTATCATAAAAAAAAAAAAATCTTTCTCTCATTCATACACATATAAACACCCACCCATATATACAAACACACACACATACATACATTAACACACACACACATGCAGCGTAAATTGCTTGCTATAAAATGTTTAAAACTTAAGTCACTTGAGAATGATAAAGTAAAATCAACCACTTATTAATGTATTCATTTCGTTATATAAGCACTTACCTATGTTATTTACCCTTTTTTTTGTGTGAATTATTATTTTGTTTTAATACTAAGCCGCAGTCGATTTTGGTAATTTCATAATTGTTTTGGTTCCCACGAGACAGGCGTAGCCTAGTGTGGGGATCATAGTTTTTATTGTGTAAAATTGTTACTTTAAGCTATGTTAAAAAATAAATAAATAAATAAAAAAAAATAAATAAAAAAAAATCTATTTGCTAACACTTATAGGTTCACAATTAACAAGGCGGCAAATGTATGTTATATAATTATAATAATAAAATGTTTCTTTATTTAGGCATACACCCATTAATATATTTAACATTACTTTATTACATTACAATACATAACAATTAAATTGAATTTTATTAACGGAAAATTATTATTATTATCGAACTACTTCATTAATAATAATTAAGAATTAAATTAAATTGAATTTACGTTACAAATGATAGAATAATTATAATCAATTTATATAAATTTTAAAAATGGAGTGTTTGTTTACGAAGTCCCACGTATCGCATACTGTCCTGATATGTGTTTTCTTACAAAATATATCGTCGCTTTAATGCTAAACGGTCGCATCACGAAAAGAATGAAAAGCGTTTTTATTGCAAAATTGTGTTTAAAAACGGCTAAATTTTAATATTTCACAAAGACACCTAACGACTTACGACATACTTACACCTAACGACACCTAACGCTTCTATATATATTCCTGATAGTCACTGCTATTTTCGCCCTCATAGTTGGAGTCATCCTCATCCAAAAACCTTCTCATGAGTTCCTCATGCACGTAATAGGTAATAAAATATAACCTAAAATAATTTACAAATATAATACATAAATTAAACACAATTATAATTAATAATAACACATATAGAAAGGAAAGAAAGAAACGTTTATTCAGTTTAAGAGAATTCAAGCAAAACAGATAAAACACATTAATGATTACACACAAAACACATTAATGATTACACACATCTATAAACTGTAACGGATCCAACTCAGCATATGTTACAGCTCGCCTGCTGTAACGGTGGTTTTCAGTTGGAACCGCCTTTACATAATCTCAGTACAGAGTACTCCAAAAATCGACCTAAAAAGTACGTGGAATTACGTCTATTTGCTAAGTTTTATTGAAATATCCCCTAGTTTGCCACTATACAGGACGTGATACTGGAGATAATAAAAATAGGTTCTCACTACGACACTATTCAAAGTATATTGAGAGAAAAACGCCTTGAATTGGAAAGTAGCAAAATCAACCATTAAAGTAATTGCTCCTAAATTAAAGTTAGGTGCTATTTATAAAAATGAATCTTCATGCGTGAACAGCCACCCTTCGAGGTGGATGATTTTCTTCAAAATGAAATGGGACGACTATGGAAGTACCCCCTTTTCAACAAAAAAGAATCATGAAAATCGGTTCACAAATACCGGAGTTATCGCGTAACATATATACAAAAAAAAAAAAAGAACATATAGTCGAATTGTTAACCTCCTCCTTTTTTGAAGTCGGTTAAAAATGAGATGGCACGTAAGTACTAGTGTGGTAAACACTAAAATTATAAAATGTAACTTAAATATTAACTAAAAACAAGTAGTAAACTGCACACAATTCCTCTAGTTATTTGCTCATACCTGCTTACCGAGTACGTAAACACTTTATAGCTCTACAAATAGAAATAAATGTGCAAAGTTAAATTTAACTTCTAGACTTAGCTTTGCTTTGTCGTATAGTCAGTTGGTGTAACTTGTAAATAACTTTCCTTCGTTAGTGTTATGCACTGGAGGAGACGCTTAAGCTGCAATTCTAGGAATAAATGTACTTTAAGTTGAAGATATATGAAATAACTTCCATTTAACCAGGAGCTTCACGGCGAGAATGTAATGTCTGGAAAAGTACAGGAATGAGTTCCGTATTTGACTTTTCAATTCCTGACCCGACCTGCCCGTCATTTAAGAACGAACTTTTCTACCAACCCCGAGCTTGTCGCTTCCCTCCAATTAGACAAATTTTTCCATTTTATTTAATCAGACAACTATGTCACAACGACCCAAAATTAAGTACTCATATTATACAATATGTTACATATTGAGTGTTGTTTGTGTCAAATTTTGTTTATTTAATGCCTTATTTATAATTATTTGAATTTTGGTTTTTTGTACCTAAATATATTATATTTGATTTGTAGGGTTTGAATTTATGACGGGTCATGGCAGATTAACAGCGAGGGCTATGTAATTGGCATTGTCCTCAGATTCTGAACCATGGACTCTTTAGACGTGCTTTTTTTAAATTTTAACTTGACTTATTTTGAATTTTTTTTTATTTCTTTTTTAATGTTTGAAATTTATGTATTTTGCATGTCAACTAAAGCCGATTTTATTGTATATTAGCCGAATTGACAAAACTGTCAAGCGTGAGGTGCGGGTCGGGCACGTGTGGGTCGATTGCACATGATATTATATAAAAAAAAAAGAGGTAAATTAATGTCCCTCCTCATATAAAAAAATGCTATTAAACAATTATAACTTTTTTATAAAAAGAGACGTCCTCAGAAGTTCGTGAAATTACATCTATTTGCCAAGTTTTAGGACCAAAACTGAGGTACCATTTTTCCAACAAAAATAGATTCATCAAAATCGGTTCACAAATAATCGGAGTAGGTAATCGCGTAAAACATAGACACAAAAAAAATACAGTCGAATTGCAAACCCGCTCCTTTTTTAAAGTCGGTTAACAAAATTTGTTCACCTCATCTCGCTCATTAGAAATCTGCGCGTCAAAGGTTTTTGAAAATCGATCTTGGGGGTGGAAAAAACGACAATGACACGTTCAACTATGCGATTTGTCCTACATTAATTATGAAATATAAATCCGTTGGTGTAATTTATTCTTATTATTGTTGACCTTAAATGGACAACAATAACTAATTTTGTTTGTTGTACTTCAATTGATTTTCTTTCAACTACCATTTATCTCGCTATAGTAAGGTGAAAATTTGTGTGTTTCGCTCGCCAGCTCGCTCGCCAGCTCGCGACGCTCATGATTCTATTTTTACTCGACTCGCTCGTGGTTCAAGAATCCTTCGCTTACTCAGGCTTCAATACAAGCACTTACATAACAAACGAGCCCTGTACGAGGGCTCTGATACTGTATCGGCGTACTGATACTGTATCATGTAAAAGCCCGAAAACAGAATAAAAAATATCGAACTGTGCATATAATTTTTTATACCACAGAGAACCTGCTAAATTTTCGTTTACAACTGAAGGTATATAATTATTAAATTTATACATTTTTCCCAACATTTGCAAATTGCCCAACAGTTTAACGACGTAACGTGTAAGTCGCCATCGGGCGTTTGTCGACGATTTATTTTATTCATATTTTACATTCACATCTCACCTTCTCGAAATACCTTGCCTTAAAATCATAACATATGTGTTACCAACCAAATATGACATTTGATTGGCGAAAAATAAGTCTAATATGATGAGAAAAATGACACATTTTATCTTGACGCCTTTACTACCTGCAGTTGCTATCCGTGCCAAAAACAACACTATTTCTTAGAAGCAAAAAGAAACCTATGTACGTACCCTATGCGAGTTGGCGAGATGCCCAAGCGGCGCGGGAGTCGGCCGTTCGTCGCTGGACTCGTCGCCGGATCTCTCGCCGGTGAACACGGAGTCGTGGGACACAGACAGCCCACTACCGTACGCGCCCTCCCTGAAACCACAATACACATACAACGTTAAAAACAATATCTGTAGGTACTTCCAATATAGGTAAATTAGAAATAACTTTATACCCAACATTGGAAATCGATTATGTCGTACTTGGAACCAGATGCATAAAGCGATTGTTACGAGAAGTAGAACTACAACTTACTTCCGTCTGGCATGTCTTTCGGCATCCAGCAGTTCGCTGGTGGAACTGCTTTTCGGATCGGGCGATGCGTCTGCGCGCGCGCCGCTGCTGCCGCGCCGCTTGAACATGCGCCGCAGCCCGCGCAGGAACCGCCCCGTGCGGCCTTCGCCTGAAAAACCAAGTAATACGTTATTATTTTTGGTTAGCCTATGCTATAGCTAAAAATTATGCAACTAGGAATAATATATATCTAGTTTATATATATCAAGTGACGGGACGAACAAGTCTGCCTGAGACTGAGACACTGAGACATAAATTGACAAGTCCCATTTGCCTGTAATATCACCAACGCCCCTACCCTTCAAAACCGGAACACAGCAATGCTGACATTACTGTTTGGCGGCAGAAATAGGTAAGGTGGCAGTACTACCCTGGACGAACTCTTTCACAAGAAGCTCTACTGCTACTAAATGTACTAAATGTTCTTGATATGTTAGCGCCACTTCAACAACAACCAATATTATTTAGAAAAGAATAAATCTATTTTTGAGTATAGGAAATGAAACTATTTTTCCGGATTTAAATCGCGTATATTTGTTTTTTCAAACAAACCGACGTTTCGGGCCCTTTACAGGTCCCATGGTCACGGTTGACTGAGGTGGTGGTGGTGTTTTAGTTTATTCTAATTTCTATTAATAATTAATAATAAATTAAACTTAATAAAAATTCATTCAATAAAATAATTTGTAAAACTTAATGTAGCATAAATTGGAATGTTTTCTTTGTAAAATTAAAAATAAGGTATTTAATTAATAACTATTGTAACTATAGTGAAAAAATAGGGTAGTTTGCATTAATATTAGACATAACTGGTTGAAGACTGTACCACCTCAGTCAACCGTGACCATGGGACCTGTAAAGGGCCCGAAACGTCGGTTTGTTTGAAAAAACAAATATACGCGATTTAAATCCGGATAAATAGTTTCATTTCCTATGTGTAACAATCGCGAAAACCTAAGAACTCGATATTTCTGAGTAGCTTACTCTACTGATATCTCTAAAACCATGGACCAATAAGTCAAGAGCTTTATGTTAATTATTGTAATAACCTAATGGAGTAATTTCACAAAATATAATTGAATATCATGGTAAAACGTCGAGACATTCAATAAAAACTTTAAATATATCTAAACTAACCAATTGATTACCTATACTATGTAGGGCCTGCCTCCAGGCTAGGAGATGTATTTGTATGGCTTGCATTTATTTCTCTCGTGAGTTTGGATGTAAATTGTGGTTGTCTATGGTGTGTCAATGGCAAGATACAGGGTTTCCCTAGTGCGAGGCATGAGTGTGCATTAAAAAAAATTGCTTCCCTAATTTGAGATCAGGTAATTAGTGTGATTGTGCAAAGAAAAAATTTAATCTTAACAGTTTAAACAAATTAACTCCTTAAACACACCTACACAAGGGCCAAAGTCTAATAGACTAGACTAGATAATAAACGACGTTCAGCACTATTTAGAGGGTCTACTGATATTCGTCCGACACAACGAGTGCCAAATAAGTAATACTCGACTGAATCAAAAGAACGGGTGTGGACCCCCAGCAGCGCTTCCTGACGCCGCGCTGCCTGGCGTTGTACCGCAGCTGTGCTTACGTTAGGAAGACGCTGACGCTCGAAAGACACTAGTGTAAGTGGTCCCTAAGAGCTTAGTAATAAAATACGAGTGAAAAATGAGACATACCATGGCTGTGAGTGTCGTGGTGGTGCGGCGGGCGGTAGGGCGGCTCGAGCGAGCCTTCTCGCACACACGACATCAGCCTCGCCCCGCCCGCGCCCGCGCCAACAGACATGCGCCGACACCGTCTGCAATGAAGAATATGACAATTAAATATTACATTATGCATTCATACGATACACTTGGTCAGGTCTACGCACATGCATACACTAATTTACTCCTATTCACGCGCTCGCATACATGAGAGAAAAGCTATGCTAATGCGTTGGGCAAGGAAGCTTGTGTTTCCCAGACAGTCCATTAATTTTTTAGATAAAATTTTGTGCAGTTCAAAGGCACCGGGACCACACTGGCCCAGGGTTTCGACTCCAATCTAAATAGGTAGTCGGAACCGAGGTCATGGCACTTATTACTCTCTATTGTTTCCGCCAGCACAGCTACGGAGCCAGCCCTCTTGCTGGTGTATAAGAGTCATTCCATCCAGGCGTTTGCCATCAGTTCGCGACATTCCGCTTGGCACGTTAACCGTGGATGATGTCGTTGAGGGCTGCATGCAGGGAGATACGGCCGGCGCTCTGCTGGCAGGAAAGACCGTACGGTGACCCAGAGCACTTACGTCTTTTCCGCAAGGACAGGTAAGTAGGTGTAGGTACTTTTATATCCAATTATCATAATTATAACGGAAGCCTGAAGATCTTTAACACAGATATGGACACCTAGTATTGAGTCCAGTCCACTACTTCGCTAAATAAGAATATCTGAATTTGAATCTATAATTTAATGTCCCCTTTATTTTGCCAAAGCAAATATAGAGAGAGAACGTTTAATAGAGCTTTAGTATATTAAATACAGACACAATAGAGTAACCAAACTAAGCGATTTAGATGGACTTTAATATAATAAGTTAATTAAAGATTCTGCAACTAAGGGGCAGTCATCTTCAGACTCGATCATTATGCTAACTTTATTGAAACTCGTAATTTTGTTGAAGCAATGCAAAAGACTACCAACTCCATCTAGCAGTTCAATGATAGAACTAATGTTTTAAGCATACAATGTTTATCAACTCATTAATCAACAATCTTTATTGCCTCCAATGTAAACAGAACTTGTACAAAAAAAACGATAATAAATAAAACTTAAATGACAAATAAACTTATATTAAATGACGTAATAAACAGGAGGCAAAAGGAGGTGTCTCAGCTGGTGCTGCGCCTATTGATGACAGTTGCAGCGCTGGTTTTCAGTCA